AAGAAAGAAAGAAAGAAAGAAAGTATAGGAAATAGATAGATAGATAGATAGATAGATAGAAGGATAGAGTGATAGATTTTCTTTTTAAGTCTAATGAACTGCAATAAGGAATTTTTAAATTGCTTTGAGCCCCTGTGTAGATGCATTTGCACCCTATAAAGAATGGGGCATTTGAGTTTAGAGGCAGACTTTTTTTCCTATTAAGAGCGATTAGATGGTGTCTATTCAGAGTTGCTGATCCAGAGAGAAAATGGGAGCAGATAAAAGGAGACTTCAAGTGACCTCCTCGTCTCTTTCACACCAACCTGAGCCTAGAATAGCCTGGGATCTTACAATAGAGCTCTCCATTTCAGACTCCCAGGACCCGGCTGAAGGGTTAATGTAGCCTGCAACTTTCACACACACACACTCCCCGGGCTGGAGCCGTGTCACACAAGTCTTTTTGTGCAGACCTGTTGGGACACTTCAAGCTGTTTAGGACCTCACTAGTTATGCTAAATTAGACACACTTTTCTCCCCCAGAGAGAGAAAACTAGCAGGCAACAATGCAGAGGTATATTTATTGTATGGAAGCAGAGAGAGGAAAATCACTCTAGATGCATTCAAGCGATTTCTTGCTTCGGTTAATTGAGATATAGCATTTAAATGAAGGAGCCTTGCTTGTAAGAAATAAAGGAGAGAAGGGAAGAGCGCTTTTAGAAACAAAGAAATTCATATTAAACGTATATATATTCGAATTCCAAACATGAGTAGTACTATGGAGCCTCATACGAACTTTCTGAATATTTAAATAAATAGTTTGCTTGGGACAATATACACAAAAACAGACACAAAATAATAGAATAGTACAATCTCAGCTTCAATTATGAAGGGGGAACATGAGCCGTGTAATCTCGATGTCATATATAATTAATTCCATTTTAATGCAATATATTGTGTTTAAATCAGCCACCCTGAGCCTGTAGTCCTCACTGCCTGTATATGTATCAATATGTCTACATCCACAAGCACAGGTTACTCAGAAGTATAGTCCACTCGTTTTCCTAGTTTTATCAACGTTTATTACTTTTCAGTAATGTGTATTACCTTTTTAATAACTTTTGTGTAGGTATGTCAATGCATGTTTAATGTATTTAATTATGGATCATACAGAATGACACATATAAAATATATCAAATGACAAATAAGAAATACTGTGTCATGTCAGCAAGACTATAAATTCACCATTTCAATAGTATGAATTTCACAGATGATTCCATATCATATAATATTATATACTTAGTTATACTTGTATATACTTATTTCTCAGTTAGCTGTTACACGGTCAGTACACATTTTATTTTAAGAAATAGGATATCAAATCTAAAGAGATCCGTATAACTTGTGTGGGCATATGAAGAGTTTATTATACAATATCATATCATATCATATGTGTCTTTTTTTATGAAGTTTTAATAAATAGTTTCCAAGTATCTTTATTTTTAACACAATAGTTGCAATTTTATATTCCAGAGTAAGACTAGTACCCAAGATTTTTGTAAGAGCCAAAGATGCCAAGGACTATTTGCAACTTGTAACTTATATCAACTTGTAATTGATATAAAACATATAAACGTGTAACTGATATAAACAATCTAGGTTTTCCAGCGTAACCCTAATACCTTCATAACTTATTGATACAAGGTATATCTCGCTAAGTCAGTATAGATTATTTTTAAAGTCTGTTTTCAAGGTTTAAAGTCTGTTGACAGCATTGTAAATGTACATTCATTATTTTTAAAGTGGCATCACAATGTAAACTTTCACACTTAGCTGTAAAAGCCTCTCTATCACAAGGTGGTCACCTGGAAACATGTACACTAATATTCCCAGCGTGTCCTTCAATCTCAATGCATGCTAGTAAAAGGTAACATATTGAAGCCAGGGTCATAGCAAGACCGGATTAATGTTTGACTTCATGCCTATACTTAGGTATGTCATCCTCCGGTAAACAGTGTGTATGGAGGGCATTACACAATCAGTGACCAGCCCCTGTGAAAGTTCACTAGGAATGGAAGAGCACATGTATGAAATGACACATGCAGCTTTTCATAACGTCACTTTACAAAACAATGGGAAAAAGAAGAGTAAGAATGAAAAGAACACAGTCAGCATGTGTCCCCTTTCACTGCTCCATGTGTATCTGCCTCCACCATTTATCTGTTGACACTATCACACCGATAATGTGCCCTGCATTGATCTTTACATTCGGTGACCAAACAGTAGAATGCAGGTGAGTGTTGGGGTCATTAGTAAATGTCCTCGCTTGTTTCAAGTCATTTATGTCCCTAGCACTAATTACTGAAACATGGACATTCAACATGCAACTCATTCAGCTAGGGCTGTGCTATCTAGGCAGGCCCTAGGGCTCCATGGATGCAAATAATGAATTATTAAATATATACACATGCAAACAATACGAACATTTAGATCAAAGACTACATTGTTAAAGTACATAGCAATGTAAACATAATATAATGAGACATTTCTCCTGTGTATATACTTATCTATTAGTGTCTAGCGGGTGTGTGTGTGTTTGGGCATATTACACATGCACAC